ATGACTTCACATTTTTCTCTTCATATTTTCTACATGTCTTGATAATCTACTCTGTTGGAGATTCCTTTAACTTTTCCTTCCATATCATGAATGTCATCTTTAGTATGACCATTCTGTTATTCTGAGTATTTTGATCTTAAAAACCATATTTTTCATGTCTAAGAATTACTCTTTCTTTGATGACTTTTTTTTTCATAGCAAACTTTACTTCTATGCTGCAATATTCACTCAAGCTTCTCTAAGGATATCACTAATGCATTTTTTTTAAAAAAAGACATTTTTTTCTTTCCCTGCTTTATTTTTGTTTCCTTCAGAATAAATGTTGATTTTGTTTTGATTCCTTCCTTTTATGTTTATAGTTTTTCTCACGTTGATCTTTTATTGTTTGGTCCTAAATATAAATGGAGTCTTCAGTTACTTAGAATAGGAAGCCAGTCGGGATTGTGGGACTCTGTGGGAAGGCTAATTTGGCACTTACCGTGTATCAGCAGGTGGGGGTGTGCCTGTACACATGCTTTCCTTCAGCGTGTGGAGTAGTGAAAAAACCAAGTAAGGATGTTGGTTGTTCTCGTTTGCTAAATCATGAATGCTTGATTCTGAGGATGAAACACACTCAAATATTTCAAGGCTTTGTGGCACTACCTTTCTTTTGAATGTTTCTCATTCTCTCTGGCACTAATGTTCTCGATCTTGGCTCTACACCAAATACTGTTTTCTTTTCTTCTCTTCTTTTTTCCACCCTCTCCTTAGGAGAGCGCACCCATTCATGTTCGTATACTCTGGCGCAGCCAGCCCAAATGCTCAAATTTTGGAATGCTTCCTTACTGCTTTGGAAGAGCTGCTTCATGAGACCCTCAAGATTCCCCAGCCCCCATCACTACTCCAGCTACCCTGTCCCCTCCCCCAAAAGCTCCCTCCCCAACCTCCTGTGGTCCATCAACTAAGGCCTCAATGCTGCCACAGCGAGATACTTTCAGCACCTGCTTCAAGGTGGCCAGTTCTGATTGGTCAATACAAATGGCTCCACCCTAAATCATGTTTCCTTAGAGTGGGAATCCATGACTCCACATCAGTATTCTACTCATTCCTAGTTTATATTCAATTTCCCACAAGGGTTCTTTCTCCTCACCTCTCACCCAACAGATGACTAAGACATCTATGTCACTGAGAAGTCAGGGGTTTTTTGCTTTAAACAAAAATCTTCACCTAAGACATTATCTGTGCCTTAGGTTTACTATAGGGATCTTGTTCGGGAACCCATGGAAGGAATAGATACCATTCTCTTTGACTATGTTGCAGGAATATCAAGCCCTAAGCTAAGCTTTTTGCCAGCAACTGTATGACAACACAACTCACAATTGAGGTACTTGGCCAGTGCTATATCTAAATGTAGATATTCACTGTTTGTGACTGGAATGAGAGTTGTATGCTCTAGATAACAGGCAAAGTGACAAACTTGACAAAGTGACAAATTTTCCTATAACAAGTTTCAAGGCCTTTCTTGTATTTTTGCAGTAATACGGGATCACAGCAACTCTAAATGGCAATGAATGCCTACATTAAAAATGAATAGGTCATAAAGTCTTTGCAAATATTCCTAACAGATACCACCAAACTCCCTACTCCCCTCCTACACATTGAAGTAGGAGGAAAAAAATCCTTATTTCACGCTCTCTTCTGTCCAAGTAACAAATTGGTTATGGCACATGTCCTGAAAGAAAAAAATTCAGCCATTTCTCAGTAGTCTCTTCTGCAAAAACAATCCTCTGTTCTGTATCTGTAACATAAGATTACTAAGGACATAAGCATAGTTTTAATTATTCTATGAATGTTTCAAATAATAAAATAACTGGCATTCCAAACTTAATTCTTTTCTGCATTGGATTTAATAACTTCTTCCTTTGAAAGCTTCATATTTGAGAATAAAAATTAGCTGACATAAATTATTTCTTCGAAAGATTAACTTGAATGTTTTATAGAATAGTGAATTGCACATTTGCTTTCCAGAATTGAGTCCCATTAAATTGTATGACAAAATTTTTTTCTGATTACTAAATATAATAACAT